ATATGTATACAGTTCAATAAAGAAACAAGCAAATATATATATATATATATACTTGGCTTATAAATATACATACATATATTTCCTAGCTCTGTGTGCTAAGAAGGCCTAGAAGCCATGACATCCCAAAAACAGTGAGCCCACCTAGTGCCTAGATGTTGGTCTTTAAATACTATGATCCATTCAAGGGAACCAAGGCTCTTTGAGAAGTGGCTGATGCAGTTTGGAGAGTGGAGACATGAGATAAGCCGGGAGTATCTTGTGGCGCTAGAAGGTAAGAAAGTGCCCAAGGAAGGATGAAGGCACAAGATTCAAAGAACACAGGAGGGGCACCTGGGTAGCTCAGTGGTTCAGTGTCTGCCTTCGGCTCCGGTCGTGATCCCAGGGTCCTGAGATCAAGTCCCACATCAGGCTCCCTGCAGGGAGCCTGCTTCTCCCTCTGCCTGTATTTCTGCCTCTCTGTGTGTATGTCTCTCATGAATAAATAAATAAAATCTTAAAACAAAGAACACAGGAACAAACCTGAAAGCACTTCCAATGGCCAAAGCTGGAACAATCTGAGGTACAATATAAATAATAATATAATTAGATTATAGCCCATAGACTAAAATAAATATATTAGTTCATACCAATATAAACACATGAAGGAAGGAAGGAAGGAAGGAAGGAAGGAAGGAAGGAAGGAAGGAAGGCAGGCGAAGGGGATAGCTCTTCCTCACAGAAGAATTCCAATTAACAACTGTAGAAGAAATGAGGAAAAGACAGAACCACCATTACAACACCACAGAAGTCATTGTTGCAGGCAAGATTCTCCAGTGGATGCCACAATGAGTGGGCAGAAATTTGAGAAGAAACAGGATACTTGTACAACCTACCAGTATCTCCCTCAAGATATTTATTAACTAAAAAAGGAAAAAGAACTTTACAGCAGAGAAACCCTGCCCCTTAGTCAAGCAATCAAGGTAAACATCCCTACTTATAAGAATTATCAATGTCATGAATCTGTTAGTCTGATGCACTGAGAGGTGCACATTACTTCTGTGGTGTCCTTGCTAAAGAGTCATGAGAAATCAACAGGCAACCCCAAATAGAGGGACATTCTACAAAATAACTCACTGGTATTTTTTTTAATAGTCACAAAATCATGAACAACAAGGAAAGACCAAATAATTGGACAGATTGGAGGAAAAGAAGGAGAAATAGTTAAATGCGATGTGGATCCTAAGAATGGGGTATTAGTGAAAAAACTGGCAAACTCCACATAAACCCAAAGTTTAGTTAATAGCATTAATTTCTTGGTTTTGATCATTGTACTATAATTTTATGAGATGTAAACATTAGGGGAAGGTGGGTGAGGGATATATGAAAATCCTCTGCACTATTTTTACTTTTCTGTAAGTCTAAAATTATTGCAAAATAAAAGTTTTTTTTTTTTTAAAGTACATACTATGGGGCAGCTGGCTGCTCAGTCAGAACATGCCACTCTTAATCTCGGGGTCATGAGTTCGAGCCCCATGTGGGGTATAGAGAGTACTTAAATAAATAAAGAACTTTCGGAGCCCCTGGGTGGCTCAGTCAGTTAAGCATCTGACTCTTGATTTGGGCTCGGGTCATGATCTCAGGATCGTGAGATTGAGCCCCACGTTGGACTCTGCACTGGACGTGGAACTTGCTTAAGTATCTCTCTCACCCTCTTCCTCTGCCCATCTCCCCCCCAAAATAAATAAAAATGAAAAATTTTAAAGAAATACATCCTATGTTAAAATGTCATTTTCCATCCTCAGCTGATGTATCACAGCTAGCTTCTAAGGTTTATTTAGTAATGATGTGGACGTATGGATGTAAGTTGTAGCAGCGCTCAATTCTAGTGGTGAATTCAGAGTTGGTGCCTGGGCCAGCTGCCTGGTCATTCTCGTTGAACATTTTTCTACATCAGCCAACAGGTTTGGCTAAAAGGTCTTGGACTTTTGCTGGACTAGAAAAAGTTATAGGAAAAGAAAGCAAACAGCCCTTAAGATGGAACCTGTTTTCTTGTGTGCCTCTTTTTTTAATTTTTAATTTTAAGATTTATTTATTCATTTGTTTGAGAGAGAGAAAAAGCAAGTGCAAGCAGGGGGGAGGGCCAGAGGCAGAGGGAGATAGGCAGCCTCCCGCCGGAGCTGGGAGCCCAACATGGGGCTCGATCCCAGGATTCTCAGATCATGACCTGAGCCAAAATCAAAAGTCAGACGTTAAATCGGCTGAGCCACCCAAGCACCCTTTCCCTGTGCACTTCTAAGCTGCTTTGAGCTCCGGCTCTGCACAGCTCCAACTTCCAAGGAAGCCACTCTCTTCTTGTGTCCAAAATATCGCAGACGGATAGAGGTCTTGGTTCTAACCATGCCATTTGTTTATGCCCTCAGAATTTTAAAACCAATCCCTATGTTTACAGATCTGAGCTTACATGTCACATGTAAGCTGCCAATAACGAAGCAGCTGCCTGCCAGGCAGTTGCAAGACTCTTCATGTTCAGAAGCTCCTCCACATAGAAGCAGGTCAGGTCCTGAAAGGTTTTCTTAAGCGCACTGTTTGTCATCCCAGTTGCCTAGGAGGGGTTTCCGCTGGCAGCCTTCTGATTGATGTCCATCAAATAAAAGTGTTTTAAAGTCAAGTACATGCTCCTTCTCTTCACTGATATGTGTTCTCTCGGGTGTATTTCCCCCAACAAATTTGTGGGAGGTTTTTTTTTTTGTTTTGTTTTTTGTTTTTTGTTTTTTTGCATTGAAAACACATTGAAAGAGAGAGTATCTGCAAATATTATTAAGAATCTCCTTAACTTCATATCCACCAGCCTGCCACACTTTGAAGTCAGGCACATCCAAAGGGGGCCTTGTGCAGAGGAAACATCCATGGCCTGGAGCAGGCATGCCATTGCTCTGGCCTCTGTGTCTTCAAACTCCTGGCATGGTCCTGACAGAGGCTGGTAGGCTCTTTCTTGATGCAAGCCTCTGAGCCATGACACTGAACCCTTTCGTTTCTGTCTACTGCTTGTCCTATGTCTTGTGGATTATTGACCAAAGAAGCAAGGCAGCTTCTCTATATTACATAATTGCCCTTTGTCCTTTTGAACTTCTCTAATGACTCAATCCATACAGAAGGGCAACGTTCATTATTTTTCACTGGCTTCCAGTTTTTAAAAATTATCTCTCTTGTTTAAATTGAATATATTGTAAACCCTTACATGGACACGATGGGGTTAAAAATGTTTGCAAAACACCTCAGGCTTAGCATGATCAGAGCAAGCACACTGCAGACCAAGGGGCTTATAGCCAAGAATCCTGAATGGGCATTGGTGGTGAGTAGAACTTTCTCCAGACAGTAGAGATTTGTTGATAACCATGGAAGAGCTCAAGGAAAGGGTGTCTGTACTTCCCAAAAAGAGCCAGAAGGATGATCCTGGGGCTGTGAGTGGATCCTACTTAAAACATAAAACTTAAAAGAAAAAAAAAAAAAAAAGAGCAAGAGGGAGACTCTGAAGTTGCTACTTGGTACACTGTTTCCAGAATCAACCAAGCAGGAGGTTGACACAATTATCTGGAGAAGCTGGGCAGAAATCTTCTTATCTATACTAAAAAACAAAACAAAACAAAAAAAAAAAAACCACAATCATCATCATCAAAGATTGGTCCAGAAATTTTTTAGAAACTAGGTTACATTGGTTAAATACTTACTATGCATCAAGCACATGCATTATCTCCTTGAATTCTTTGAACAACTATGCTATATTCTCATTCCCATATTCCAAGTAAGGAAACGAAGGCACAGGTAGGTAAAGTAACTTATCTAAAGACACACTGCTAATTAAGAGCAAAGCTGGGATTCAAACCGGAGTCTCTGACCACAGAACTCTTAACCACTGAACCTTTTCAGGTAATCACCTCACCTCAGGTTAAATAAATGACTGGAGAAACTAATGTGCTTCTGTGCTCAAAGGCTTCACCTTTTTCTTTACAATACTCTCACGCAGGAGGGCTGCCACCAGGAGCCTTGTGTCTACCTTAGAACATTCCCACTGTGAGTCACCTCTCTATGCGAGCCAAAGCCACTCGGTCTCTTGCCCCCACATCTTAGGAATCAACACAATTGGAAGCTATTGGTGGCCTGTGTTGACAGGGCTCAGGAAGCGGTTCTCAACCAGGGGCAATTTTGCCCACCTCCACCCCCACCCCCTCCCCCAGGGACATTTGGCAACGTGGGAAGATATTATTGATTACCCCAGTTGGGGGGTGGGGTGGGGGGGGCGGAGGAAGTACTAAATGGTAGCCAGGGATCCTACTAAACATCCTACAAGGCATGAGCCAGCTCCCCCACACCCTCAGCTCCAATCCAGCCCCAGATGTCAGTGGCTTAGAAGTGGAGATGGTAACGCTCAGAAGCCCTGGTCCCCAGCCTGGCCTGGGAAGAAAAAAAAAAAAAAATCACTGCTACCGCAGTCAGGAAACTGGATCAGATGGGTTATCTCATCTGCAGGGGAGATGCTACCGCCTGCACTTGGGCTTTTTCCATCCAACTAATTAGTACACTTGCGGATCGTCTGAACCGACAGCCTCCTCTCCCCCATGAAGCGCACGCTGGCAAGCCACTCCAAATTCAAAATACTGTCCTGACAAGCGAAGCAAGTGATTCGACAAGGTGACTCTGTCTGCTGTGCCAGGTGGAGGCGGGTGGCATATTCTAGGGGCGATCCACAGGGTGGCGGGGGGAGAGCGCAGAGCGGCCTCGCTAAGGTCGCGGGCGCGGCGCAGGTAAAGCAGGGGCCGAGCATTAGCGTCAGGGGGGGGGGAGAGGCTCTTTAAAGCCAGGCGAGGAACCTCATTGGTCCAGGGCCTAATTGTTTTCACAGGCCGTGAGATCACGCTCGGCAGGAACGCCGCGCGGGGCGGGGGCGGGGGGGGGAGCTCTCGCCGGTACCGCCCCACTAGAGAAACCAAAGCAAGACGCGTGTGGCAGCGACGCCGCGCGCGCCCAGGAGCCAGCCTGGGCGTCACCGCCGGCTCCGAGCTCCCGCTTGCAAGAGCCGTCGCAGGTGCCTGCGGGCGGAACAGCATCTCTCCGCGCCTCCGTGGCTCCTCCGCAGCACCGGGCGCCTCGCAACAGCCACTCGGCGCGGTCGTCCTGGCGACAGGGTGTGCTGTGTGTGACAAAAGAACTTCTGGGGGGCGCGGGGCACAGAACACGCGGAGCAAATGCGCGGCCGGCTCCTCCCCGCCTCCCTTCCTTCGCACGTGCGACAGGGAGATGGGTTTTCCCTGCGGGCCTGGTTGGGTGAAGGAACCGGGCGAGGGGCTGAGTCCGAGCCCGACAGAGGCTTCTTATTAATGGAATTGACTTTGACAGATCATTCCCACGAGAGGTCCAGATAAGCAAGCCCGCCTCAAACAAGGCTCTTTGGTTCTAGGACCCAGGAAATGACTCCCTGAGATACACTCGTTATGCACCCAGGGTCACCAGAAACAGATTTACCTTGAAGCTGAGAAAAATGAAGCTCCAAGCCTCTCACCCACGCAGGAGCCCCAGCAACACACTCACGGCCATTTGCCTTTGTAAACTGGGCGGTGGTAAGATGCTCTGACCTTGATTGCTTTGATTGCTTAAGATCGCTGCCTCTTTCTACTCTGACCTCCCTTTGGCCACATTTCCCCTCCTTTTAGGTGACTTTGGAAGGGCCGTGGGCATATTTGGGTTCTGGCTAAGAGGAAACGGAGTCAGAGATACCTTTACTTTGGGTTAAGAGGTCTTTACAAATTTATAAACTATATTTATACTTTAGTCACTGCTGGCTGTTCTCAAGCAGGGAAGGTTTCCAGCAATATTCCTCTGGCCCACTGGGCCCACCCACCCGGTATGGAGATGGGAAGGCTCAGATCCAGAGGTCATATCGCAATATGACTGTGACCTGTGGTGTCTGGCACAAGAGGTAGTGTGGGCCTGGGCAGGGAAATCAAGATGTGGAATAGACAGAGCCAGAACAGACTAATCAGAAGCTGGCCTGGGGGAAATTTTTCCAACCATCAAACCTGTGCAACTGTAGGCACACTTAAAATTGATAATTGGTCACAATGAACCTCAGACCTCCTAAGAAACATGCTCCCCCCCCCCCACTACAGGACCAAAAAAAAAAGTTAGAGATGTGGTAAGCAAATACTAAGTATTTTTCTGAATTTGGGGATACTTTAATACCTAATTTTGTATATATAATGTTACACCCTCTTCAAAAGGGCTTCTCGGATTGTATAAGCTTCAGGCCCTACAGTAAAACCTAGGTCCATCCCTTAAAAGCATGGACTTTTATCTCTTTCAAGAGGGTAGAGTGGTGGGATGCCTCGGTGGCTCAGCAGTTGAGCGTCTGCCTTCGGCTCAGGGCATGATCCTGGGGTCTTGGGATCAAGTCCCACATCAGGCTCCCTACACGGAGCCTGCTTCTCCCTCTGCCTCTCTCTGTGTCTCATGAATAAATAAATAATATCTTAAAAAAAAAAAAAAGAGGGTAGAGTTGAGGGGAAGGTGAGAATAGAGAAAACTGAACTCCCTAAGTAAATTTCCTGAAATATTTCTATGTCAGTCAGACGGGGAACCTACAAAACTGGAAATTCCTTGTGTATCTGTTCTTACTGAAAAGATTTAAATGAAATAAGGATATAAGGCTCCACCTTATCCTGGTGGATTTTCTCACCAGGCTGAGCCCATACCGCACAGTGTTTTGGGGGGGAAGTACTTTTTTATAATGTGAAATAAAACACACCTAGCTTTAAAAAAAATTCTTTTTTAAGTCAGTTTCTGCTAGTCTTTTATCTGTGCTTTATCTATCCCCTCCCTCCAGCAGATACTCTAAACTCCATTCCCCGCTTCCCATTGTCGCGTCTACACCCAAATCAAACAAACTCGGCCGGATAATTAGTTTTTGAAAGCACAGAGTAACACTCCACGAGTCGGAGAAAGTGAAAGAATTTTCTAAATTCAAACGCCCGAACAAGGAAACCTTCAGGTCGGCAGAGCCCTCGCAGGGTCTGCTTCTCGCCACCGGAAGACTTTTCGAGAAACCACACCGCGGAGGCCGCTTTTCCTTTTACTGCGAAGGCCCGAAGCGGCCGGGCCCGGCCCCCGCCCCCGCCCCCGCCCCCCAGAAGCGTGAATTTCACAGGGCCCGGCAGATGCGGCGCCCCGGCTAATTTCGGAACTCAGGCCTCCGTTTCGCAAATGCCCGGGCCCCGCGCCAGGTCGGCGGCCCCGCCCTCGGGATGCTCGGCCCCGCCGCCCCTCCGGGCTCGGGGAAGGGGTGGCCCCGAGCGAGTCCCGCTGGTGGGAGCGGAGCAGCCCCCGGGACGGACTGTGGGCTCTTTCCCTTCCCTTGGAAAGCGCTTAGCGGGCTCAAGACGCCCCGCCCCCCGTGTGTACCTTCTCTTGCGGGGCTGCTTGTTTTACAAAAACAGAGCTCGGGTCTTTAAAACCTGCATTCTCGGGATCCCTGGGTGGCGCAGCGGTTTAGCGCCTGCCTTTGGCCCAGGGCGTGATCCTGGAGACCCGGGATCGAATCCCACGTTGGGCTCCCGGTGCATGGAGCCTTCTTCTCCCTCTGCCTGTGTCTCTGCCTCTCTCTCTCTCTCTCTTTCTCTCCCTCTCTCTCTCTCTCTCTGTGACTATCATAAATAAATAAAAATTAAAAAAAAATAAAAAAAGCTATATGCTTTAAAAAAAAAAAAATAAAACCTGCATTCTCGCCCTGGGAGTAAGCATTAGTTAATGATTGCCAGCCGGTTTCTGTGTCTCGGCACCATGTGACCGGGGCACGTGACTTGGAGCCGGCTGTGGTTGTTCCTTGTATTTGAATAAAAAAGATCAAGCTTATTATTGCACTAAAAGCCTGCGGATCTCGTCAGCGCAACGTGATTCCCAGGCGGGTTACACAACGCGCTGCAGCCCCGAGCTCCGGCTTCCAGCGCCCAGCCTGCCTCCGCCCGGCGCAGGGAGCTGTTTTCTGAGAGACTTAAAACAAATAGGGTTTTATGTTTTCCAAAGTGAGAGTCCATTTTCCCCTTGGAAAACGTCTGATGATCTTGAAATAGGAAGAGACCCAATTTCCCCGAGCTTTCTTCTTCGGTTAAGGTTAGGAGCCCTATTGCACGCACACAAATAAAGGAAAAAAGCAGGAGATCCAATCCCTTTTGCAACAGAAGATTCGGGATTGTTTTGACCTTTGATTATTTCCCTCTCTGGAGTCTTCAAAATATATACTCTTTTCTACTTAGAAAAAATGTAAACTGAAAACGATATTTTTAAATTTAAAATTTTAATGGCGTGTTCATTTTGTTTTTTTTTGTTTGTTTGTTTCCCCTAAGGTTTCTAGAACATTGGCAGTTAAATTTTGATTCAGCACATCCCCAAAGGAGACAGCAGAAGGATTAGTCTGTTTATAGGTGGGAAGAGTTGGCTGTCTCTTTGCAGGTTAGTGTCTGTGGACACCGGTATGCAAATATATGCAGATTTGCCTCAAAAGGGGCCCCCTCCAATACCCAGAAGGTGACATCCTTACTAGACACGTTGTAAAACTCTCCCACTCCCCTCCCCCAAGGCCGTAGAAGGCCTGCAATATTTTGCTTTGCCCTGTCTCTAAGGATAGTCTTCAGTGATGACTCAGTTACAGGAGAAGGATCATGGAGGAGATAACATTGGTTATCTCTAGTCCAATGTCTTCTCTGAATGGAACTGCAAAGCGTTTCTCCATAGCAGTCACTTCTCCAGCAGTGTCTGTCCTCTAAAACAGGAGGCGGGTCCGTTTACCAGCCCAGGCCAGATTTCAGCTGTGGATTCATTCATTCTGCAAATACTGACTGAGTGCCTCCCCTGCCTGGCATTCTTCCAGGTGCTGAGGAAGCAGCTGTGAACAAGGGAGCCGGATCCATGCCGAGGTGGGGCCTCACTCCAGTGACAGGGTTACCTCCAAAAGCCCAAGCCCAGGAGGCCTGGCCTGAGCTGGCCAGGAGGCAGGGCTGGGGGGTGGGGGTGGGCACAGCATGTGAAAGTCCCTTCTGCATTATAGCCATTGCTCAAATGATGGGGCCACTAAAGGTTAATTAATTTGCCAGCTGATGATTTGGAAACAGAAGTCTATCTTTGCTGGCAGATACAGGTGTGATCTTGTTTCTTAGACACCTTCCAGCCAGCCCTGAGGAGTCCTTGCTCTCCGTTTCTGATCCTACGTGGACAAGAGTCTTTGTGTATTGTGTAGATGTCTCACTGCTGCCAGCAGCATGGCCAAAAATACAGCAGAGCTGCTTGGGAGTGATCCCTCCTTGAGCTGCGACAAACTCACTGCCAGAGTTCCAGCTGAAGCATTAATGCCTTCCTTCTGCTTCCCTGTTTCTCCGCAGTCCCCCATCCAAGGACACCCCAGCAACTCTGGCAGGAGCTACCCAAAAGGCCAGCCTGTCCACAGTGCCAGAGGGGTGAGGTCCTTGCCCTCCCAAGGACAGTATGCCAATCTGGCTTCTATTCCTCAATGGCAGCTCAATGGTAGTATGGGGCCTTCCCTCTTTTGACAAGCCCCGATGTGGATGAGAGAGTGAAAGTGTGTTCTGAAAATGGCAGAGCTTTTGACATGCTGAATAAGAAATGACCAGGTCACAGGAAGGGCAAGACAGAGGGAAAGAATGGAGCTCCCGAGTTCTTGATGAAATCTCGATTGGACTTCGATGAACTGATCGTTCAGTGGACGCTCTACTCTATGGAACCACATACCACACCAAAGGAAAGGGAATACAGCAACTTTAAACAAAAGTTAGAAATGCAGGCACAATGGTCTGGTGGCTGAGGATGGTCCTTTATACCAAGGCCTCAGAGAAGGTCCTTTTTTTTTTTTTTTTTTTTTTTTTTAAGATTTTATTTATCTGACATAGCAGAAGCAGGGGAAGAGGCAAAGGGAGAGGGAGAAACAGGTTCCCCACTGAGCAGGGAGACCAATGAGGGGCTCAATCCAGGACGCTGGGAACATGACCTGAGCCAAAGGCAGATGCTTAACCAACTGAGCCACACTGGCGTCCCGGAGAAGGTCCTTGATATCATGTATGATAAGCAGGATGGATATCGGACCCCAGACATAGCCTCCAACCACCCCCACCCTGACCTGTGCAGTGGAAGGAGAGGCAGCTCAAGCTAGAGAAAGGAGGCAGACAGGCACAGGTTCTGGCCTTGGAACTCAAGGTATTTTGAACCGAATGTCTTCTCCTAGCCAATCTCAATAATATTTCCCATAGTCCCTTGGTTTCCCAAGAGAAACAGTTAACTGCTATCTTCCTTCTGCAGGTGGGGAACCTAAGATAGAAGCATGGTAACAGCCCCAGTGGTAGAAAATCAAAGATAAAATTTATGTCTTCTCCAGGTTCACCTCTTGTAAAGATGAGCACCAGCAAGAGAATCAGAATGGTACAGCCTCTACAGAAAACAATATGACAGTTCTTCAAAAAAGTTAAACATGGAATTGCCATATGATCCAACAGTTCCACTTCTGGGCATATGTCCACAAGAATGGAGAGCAGGGACTCAAACAGATGCTTGTACACCTATGTTCATAGAGGCATTATTCATACTGGCCAAAAGGTGGAAACAGCCCAAGTGTCCCTGGATGAAGGGATAAACAAATGTGCTGTCCACATACAAGTGAATATTATTCAGCTTTCAAAAGGGAGAAGATTCTGATGAGTACTACAACATGGGTGACCTTGAGGACATGAAGCTAAGTGAAATAAACCCATCACAATAAGACAAATACTGTATAATTCCATTTACATGAGGTACCTAAAGGAGTTGAATTCATAGAAACAGAAAATAGAATGGTGGTTGTCAGGGCATGGGTTGAGGGGAGAATGGTGAGTTAGTATTTGAGCAGGACAGAGCTTCAGTTTGGGAAGATGAAATGGTGATTCACAACACAGAAATGTACTTAGTGCCGTGGAAGTGCATGCTTTAAAGTGTTCTAATGATGCAGCGTATATTTTACCCAAACAAGAAGCTTCAAAGGGTGTCCGAGTATCACTTGCACATTTTTAGAGCTTCAGAGAGCAATCTCAAAAAAATTTTGCCCTGTGTATCATACTCTGTGTATCAGCAGGATCCCTAGGAGTTACCCATCGATCCTATCCCTTCTGATGTCCAAGGAGATGAAATTATGTTGATTGTTGTACCATCTCTCTTGTCCTTTCACCTGGGTTCTGTGATGCCGACAGCTCAGAGAGGTGAGGGCCTTAACCTTCATCAGACCATCGTCACCCTCACCCAGCCCATTGATCTGATTTGCTAAAAAGAGAATCGGTGGCATAGAAGGAGAAAGATTAAGGAAGGATTCAACTCTGCTGCCCAACCAGTTTTCACTGCCTCCAGTAGAAAATGTTCAAGATTTGGGATAAACTTTGTTGCCTGCACTAGTGAGTTTTTTTTCTCACCTATTAATAGACAGATTTTGCAGGTCATAGGAAATATTTGATGGAGTGTTAGCAAAACAGTTGGGCTTCAAGGGATATGAAGGAAGAAGATCCCAGGAAGCATGAGAGGAAAGATTATAGACATTGAGTTTTAAATGTCCTCTGCCCTGGCTTTCTGACTTAACATACAATAATATAGTGCATGTTACCGGAAACTATAAAGACTATTCTATTCTTAAACCAAAACAATACAATAGAATATTCTTTTTTTATTTTTTTAAAAATTATTTTTTTTTTATTCATGAGAGACACAGAGAGAGAGAGGTAGAGACACAGGCAGAGGGAGAAGCAGCCTCCATGCAGGGAGCCCTGAGTGGGACTCGATAGTGGGTCTCCAGGATCATGCCCCGGGCCAGAGGCAGGCACTAAACCGCTGAACCACCCAGCCATCCCGAATATTCTACTCTTATATAAAACTTGGGGCACCAGAGTGGCTCAATCCATTAACCATCTGCCTTTGGCTCAGGTCATTATCTCAGGGTCCTGGGACCCAGCTCCCTGCTTGGTGGGGAGCCTGCTTGTCCCTCTCCCACTCCCCCTGCTTATGCTCTCTCTGGCTCTGTCAAATAAGTAAACAAAATCTTAAAAAAATAAATAAATAAAGCTTGTACCTCAGAATTCTAAGTTAGCAACAATTGAATTTTTAGAAAAGAAGAATAATCCTCATTTGGGAAAGCCCCAGGCCTCCTTGAAAAAGTAAAGTTGGTGGTTAGGATGGCCTCAAATTGTTCTCTATATTAATCGCTGACAGTAGCCATGAGTAATCCATAAACACAAAAACAGGTCTGATCTGGGGGATGTCTGTGGCAGTTTCCAGCAGACCTGATCTCTGCATCCTCCTTCATCAAGTCAGACCTATACTGAGGCTGTGATGAAGAACCTTAAGTAGGCGGAAAACTCTTTAGGAAAAATGTATGGATGAGAGCCATAAATAAAGATATTGCCTAACCTCTCACTGACCTGGTCCCTCGGTGATCATGCTACATGGAAGAGTGTTTCTTAGCTCCACGCTTGGCACTTAACAAATGTTTTCTTTATTGGGTGGCATTATTATTGTTGTTGTTATTCTGGATGTCCCACACATAGAGCAATCACGTTTTTCAAGTCCCAAATTAAGAACTTCTAGTATAAGATTTGTACAGTATACTTAGGTAGACAGCAAGATAGATTATTTCAAACCAAGGCTACCTAGAAAAGTCCAGGCTCTGTGTAGTCAGTCTCATGGGCTCTCCATTGACAGACCACTCCAGTTAAACTATGAAATCTGCCCAAGTTCCCATATTTTTGGGATCTACAAAGGTGGTAGTTCAACCAAATGCAAATCCTTGTTGCATTCAATTCCATTCACAAACACCCTTTGAGCACCTAAACGTAAAATATTGAGTTGAGTGCCATGGGGAATAAAAAAAAAAAAAAAAAAAGAGATGGCCCAGACCTTCCAGAAGCTCAGGGACAGGAGGGTATGGGAAGGGCTGCCCTTGTGCTGAGCATCAGAGATTCAGGGGAGCTCAGATTCACTATTTTTAAAAATATTTTTAGTTGAAGTATAATTGACATACAAGTTTCAGATGTACAATATATGATTCAACAATGATATACATTATGAAATGCTCACTGTGATAGGTATAGTTATCATCTATCTCCATTAAAAAGTTATTACAATATTATTGACTATATTCTCTATGTTGTCCTTCCCACACCTGTGACTTATTTATTTCATAATTGGAATTTTGTTACCTCTTAAGCCCCTTCACCTATTTGGCCTCTTCAGTCACCCCCTACCTCTCCCCTCTGGCAACCGCCAGTTTACTGTCCACATTTATGAATCTGTTATTTTTGTTTTTGTTGTTGTTGTTTGTGTGTTGGTTCATTTGTTTTGTTTCCTAGATTCTAAATATAAGTGAAATCACAAAATATTTGTCTTTCTCTCTCTGACTTACTTCACTTAGCATAATGCCCTCTAGTTCCATCCATGTTGTCGTGAATGGCAATTTTTTGAGAGATGAATGGATAAAGAAGATGTGCTACATCTACACAATGGAATACTACTTGAAATCTTGTAATTCAGATTCACTCTTAGTCACTGATAATACCTGACCAGTGCCTCTAAGGCTTTTGATGGCATTTTAAGGTATTTACATTTGATTAGATCCCCAGGAGGTACAGAATAATTTCCATGCAAAACTACAGGACAAAAATTACAGAGGGAGAACCTGACAAAAATTACAGAGGGAGAACCTGGCCGAGCCCTCCAACATGACCAAGAGAATGCCCATGATCCAAGCTCAGATTCTCATGCTACCCAGAAGTCTCTATTTTCCTTGCACTTACAGTTATTTCAGGAGCCTTCTACATGGTCAAAATGATCAAAAGGCTCCTATAGGAGCCTTCCTGTCCTTGAACAACAGATTAGTGCTAATGTATTAGCAGAGATTAATAGACTCCTACTTCCAAAAGCCCCCTCTCTTAGACTTTTTTTTAATTTAATTTAATTTAATTTAAAGATTTTATTTATTTATTCATGAAAGATACACAGAGAGGGCAGAGACACAGGCAGAGGGAGAAGCAGGCTCCGTGCAGGGAGCCCGACGTGGGACTCGATCCCAGGACTCCGGGATCACGGTCTGGGCCAAAGGCAGTGCTAAACTGCTGAGCCACCCAGGCTGCCCTCTCTTAGACTTTGGATTTGGCGATGGGCTGATGGAGGCCTTCTCCTTTGCTTTCATGCAGAGCTGCCTCTGAGGGGAGAATTCTCTTCCTCATAGCTGTGTCCTATGTAGCCACTAGCCCAGGAGCATTCCTATACCCCTTTGAAAAACAAGGTCTTTGGGGCCCAAAGGCAGATGTGGGGGAACCTGCAGGTGGAACACCCCACAAAGCTGGTCCAGCTCAACTCATGATCCCAAGTTGTGAAAAGTAACATAACTTCTTCAACATAGGCGACTAGAGCCTTCTTGGGTTTTCTTTACTGCAATCCTGACCAAGTTTAAAACCAAAGATATTAGTACCTACTTGGGGGTCCATTTGATAGGACCAGAGCTGACAGAGGTGCTCACAGCATCAAAAAATGGAGAGTTTGAAGAATCTGGAACAACCTGGCAGAGTAGCAATGCTATGGGACAGGGCTGCTGGTCTCAGACATGGATTTGGGGGCATTTCTGGCTCAGCTCATCCCAGGCCTTCTATATTCACTAATTAATCTTCTGATTTGAATTTCCCAAATAGGCTCTATCAGAAAGAAAGATTCATTCATTTATTCAACAGCTATATTGATCCCCTACTATTAGCCAAAATGAATTAATAGAAATTTAGTGAGAAGGTAGAAAAAGCAATAGCAAGAGGTCTCCATGTGGTGCGTGCTATAACGCAGGGAAGCCCGGAGTGTTATGGCAGCATGGAGGGGCATCTCAAAGGGTTGGGTCACTGGAAAATGATTGGATACTGAAGGAAAAGTATAATTCTAGAGACAAAGTGAAGGAAGGCATCCCAGGATGAGAGATCTACATGAATTAAATTGATGTGTGGAGGCATGAAATTAAGATATTGAATTCCCTGTGTCTGTGAATTTGGGCTGCCCGAGTTGGTTATCTTGGGCCCACATCACCCATCCTAGTCTTGTTTCTAAGTCTCAAAAGTGCAGCCTAGAGAAGGTAGAAAATCAATCCGTGGAATTCTGAAACGTGGCTGCAACTGACCTTTTACCCCACTTGGAGTAAAAGGTGCAGGCCATCTAAGTATAGCTGCAGGGTAGGGAGGTGCTAGATCTAGAAAGGAAGGTTTGGGGACTAATTCCATTTTTAAAATTTAATTTATTTATTTTAAAGATTTTATTTATTTATTCATGAGAGAGAGAGAGAGAGGCAGAGACACAGGCAGAGGGAGAGCCTCCACCCTCCTACAGGGAGCCTGATGTAAGGACTCATTCCCGGGACCCCAGGATCACAGCCTGAGCCAAAGGCAGACACTGAGTCACCCAAGTGCCCCTCTTTTTTTATTTATTTTTTTTAAAGTAAATTCTCTGCCCAACATGGGGCTTGAACTCATGACCCTGAAGATCAAGAGTCAAATGCTCTACTAACTCAGCCAGCCACCCAGGATGGGGACTTATTTCAGAGGGCCTCGTAGGTGATACCGACAGGTTGCTACATGTCTCATGAGCATAGAATTGTCCGTATATTATCAACTTGTTCTATACTCAACTTGAGGCACCAGGGCCATATTTAAGCTGGAATAGACACTGTTGAAAGTGGTGATTTGCCAACCATTCTTATCTTTAGGATAAGTGGAGGATGGTGAATGGGAGGGCGCAGGATGGGGTGGACATACCAGTACTAAACCCCTGCAGAAATGTTGTATGGCTGTACTTTCCCTCATCGGCTTTTAGCTCCATTCATGGAAGATGTCTCCTTGCTCTTTTTACTCTTCAACTTTACTGTTGGCTCCCTTATGTACCTGAGGCTGGAATCCCAGATGGGGAGGTGATACATCTTAGGCCACGTTCAAGGGAGGAACTCGCTTCTCAAGTCTCAATTCCAAGATAAATATGTCGTTCCTGCCATACACTTAGCTTCCAAAAACACAGCCGTGAGTAAATGCTTCATGCAATGCAATGCCAGAGGTATAATTAAACTTCAAAAGGGTATTAATTGCATCACCTTCAAGAAAAGTGTAGAAAAAGAAAGGCATTACTGAAAGGCAACCTCAAACATCCCGCCACCTAAATTCATCTTTGGGAGAAAGAAAATAAACTGAAGTGATTTCTTGGGGCACCCAATTTTCTCAAGCAGGCCTCCCATTCAAGTTGTATTAGGAAAGGGAGTGCGTGTGCTCATGTCTAGCCATCTTTAAAACCAACCTTTATGAAAAGACACCTTCCCGGATTCTAGTTACCATCATGCCTTCTGAGCAAAAGAGGGAATGAATGTGAAAATAGCTTGCAACATTTAAAAAACAAAACATATAATTATCCCCTGCTAATCCTTTTCAGGTTTTTAAGATCACATTTGCTGGGAAAAGTCAAGAGCAAGACCCCTAGACACAGATGGCTTGTTGCAAATTCTAGCAAGTCTTTCTGCTCCATGACCTTGGGTAAAGTACCTGACCTCTCTGAGCCTCAGGATCCTCAACCATGAAGTAGAAGCTCCAAGTAACTCCTTGGTCAGGGAGTTGTGACAAAGCTGAAATGAATCATTCCACAGATAAACTTGGGGGTTGGCTTGCCACATACTAAATAGCCAGGGAATATGAACACTTATTATGGTTTAGATTGTTCCCACCAGGAACCCTGGATCTCAGGCTCTGTCCAGGATACACCAGTCAGTTGTTTTGCAAAGACAGACTCTGCCCCCTGAATAAAATATCTGCTTCTCCCCTCAGCTAACACCTTCAAAATGCATGTTTTTGAGGACCTGGGCCAGCGGATGTGGAGCGGGCAGCTCATAAAAAATCAGATTAAAGTCAGTGACATCTTATCCATTTGTGAAAGGCAGCACTTCAACTGTGAAATAATCTGGACTTTTAGGGAAGAATTGTGCCAGGAGAGTATCCACTCCAAACCTATTTCAATAAAGACGCATCAAGCAGAGAAGCACCATGTATCACTATTTATGATCCCCAGAGTCATATTTTACCAAAGTTCCAGGTAACTAAGGATGAACTTGATACAATCTTTCAAAGACAGAAATCCTAGGGAAAGCAAACAAAACTTCAAAAGGAAAACAAAACAAAACAAAAAACCACAACTTGACAAATGACAGAAAGAAAACCCAACCTGCTCTTAGACCTGTAGAGGAAAACCCAACCTGCTTTTATTTTATTTTATTTTATTTTATTTTATTTTATTTTATTTTATTTTTAAGATTTTATTTATTTATACATGAGAGACACACAGAGAGAGAGAGGCAGAGACATAAGCAGAGGGAGAAGCAGGCTCCATGCAGGGAGCCTGACACGGGACTCGATCCAGATCCCGGGTCTGCAGGATCACGCCCTGGACTGAAGGTGGTGCTTAAACCGCTGAGCCACCGGGGCTGCCCCCCAACCTGCTTTTCTTATATTGCATGTAGCCACCCAGGGTTGTTTGACATTAAAATACTATTTAAAAAAAAAAAAAAAGCCAAATCAATTTTCACAAACTGATCAGCGTGGCTCACAAAAAGCAAGCATTTGGTTTGTCAATTAGTTGGCAGCCTGATTGTGATTTTAAGTTTTGCTATCCAAATTATCATAAAGCTTTAAAATGTAAGGAAAGAGAGAGGGAAGGTCTTGCCCTTAACTTGTTCTGGGCTCTCTTGTTTGCTTGAAGTGAGTCTCTACTTAATACCTTCAGAATTTGCTCTTGCCTTGAAGCAATAGACAAGTATGTGCTGCTCTGTTCTAAATATGGGAACAGCCAGTACAAATAGAAGATTGAAGATTTGCTTTGAAGCTCAATGTTGCCAATGTAGAACCTCTCCCGAAGGCTGGGAGCAGGCAGCAAGGTGCTGCAGAGTGAGAGCTCCCGGCTTTTAACGGCTAATATATTAATTCTGGGTGGTATCTGGTGAGACCAAAGGTCACGAATCTGCTTTTGACCTTAGTACTAATGGCAATCCTGTGGGAATCCTGAGAGTGGCTGAATGAGAGCTGTGATAGCACTAATAATTAATAATGATGATAATGTCCTATGTTTCTTGTTTTAGTGCCTATCGCCCAAAGATTTCAAATCACTTCAAGACCAATTGTTTCACCCACCATTGACCTATAACTGGCTCAGGCACAGAATATTGCCC